GGGTTTAGGGGTTTAGGGATTCAAGGCTGAGGGTTGTAATAGGGTTCTACATGGTGTATACTATCGGTTTTCTGCGGATTGCCTAAATCCGGGTTTCTATAAGGTTGAATGTGTTTTTCATAGGGTTTGTGGCAGGTTTGGGGTCTCCCTAAGGTTTGGATAGGGATTCTATCAGGTTCTTGCTAGATTTTCTTCCAGGTTCAGGGTTTTAGGCTACGGACATCCCAGTTTGGGGTTTGGGTTTTGGGGTCTGAGGGTTTAGGGTCTAGGGGTTTACCCTAAACCCTAAACTCTAAATCCTAAACAAACCCTAAACCCTAAACCTTAAACCCAAAACCCTAAATCCTAAACCCTAAACCCTATTGAGTGTGGCAGGGTTTGCCGCTTTAGGCTTGGAGGAGGCTTGGGAAGAGAGGGGTCCAGGTCCCAGCAAACCCTGCGCGCTGAGCCCCCGTAAGTCTTTAAGCAGATTCTTCCTAAGCCTTAAACCCCAAACCCTAAACCCTGAAACACTGAAGCCCTAAAACGCTGAACCCCAAACCCTAAACCCTACAACCCTGAAGCACTAAAGCCCTAAATCCTAAAACCCTAAACCCTAAAACCCTGAAGCACTAAAGCCCTAAAGCTCTAAAACCCTAAACCCTAAACCCTGAAACACTAAAGCCCTAAAGCCCTAAAGCCCTAAGCCCGGGTCGGCAAGCCACAGGAAAGCCTTAGCCCTGTACAAACCCCTAAACTTCCTAAGAACCCTAAGCTTCCTAAGACCCCCAAACCCTAAACCCCTAAACTTCCCAAGAACCCTAAGCCCTAAACCCTAAACTTCCTACGAACCCTAAACCCGAGACTCTAAACTCTGAGCCTCGCATCCCTAAACTTTCAACGCCCAACCAAGGGTAAAGCAAGAATACCGAGCGCATGGAGCCCTTCATGTAGTTCAGTTCTACTAGATTCCTAGTACAGTATAATACCCCCCCCCCCATGTTCTACTTTATAAGGCCATGCTAACCCTAAGCCTTAATCACAACCTTTCAAAGCCCATATCCGTACAGGATGCCTTTCAAGACTCCAACAGGAAGTGCCTGGGCATGCCACTTGGCTCGCAGAGGGCGCATCGTTTTCGGGTAATTTGGGAACCTGATGAAGAAACCCTGGGTCTTTTCAGGTCCTTGTTATACTCCTGCCTTTATTGGGGTTTTAGGACCAGGATTTCTTAATCAGGTTCAAACATTATATCGGACAGGCACAGGCCTTCGGAGCCGGGCGGTGTACTTGTGGCTCAGAGCGGCTTCGTGACACCTTTGTAACTTGTTGCTGTATCCAGTTGTCTCATCGCAAAACTCCACGCAACCCCTAGATCTTGAAGTGGTGGCTAGTATATAGGCCTTAATAATAAGAATAGGGTTTGGGGGTATACCTTGCTATAACTATAATAAGGACCCCCCCAAAACCGTATTCTAATTATTAAGGCCCCTGCATTAATGCCTTAAGGCCAACAGATAAGCCCCAAACTCTGAACTAAACCATACGTCCGAGCTAAAAAGGGACCCTAGCTGACTGACCTCAATATAGACAAAGATCTTTTCAGCATCTGAAGCCGCCAGAATGACCCACAAAACACAGACAGAGCCCTGATAGATTCCGCATGAAGCCTGCATAAAACCACATCCGAGCCCTCATGAAACCCAGAACCTTACCCTAAACCCGAAACCCTACACCCACCCTAAACTGCTAACTCACTTCTCGCCTTGCTCCCTGGGCACCCTATCGAGGTTTTCAAAGCGAGAGGACGTGGTCGAGCTGCAGGCTGAAATCTGAGACAGGGTTGATAGAGAGAGTTTAAGATTTGAACCTTACAAGTTTAGGATTTCGTAAGGGTTCTTTAGGGCAGGATTTATGATTTCGAGAGTAGGGTTTAGGGTTAAAGATTTCTTAAGAAGCATTCAGGGTTTCAGATTTTGACATTAGGGTTGAAGGTTAAAGATTCTGAAGACGGGTGAGGGTTTAGGATTGACAGGTTTTGGGCTTCGGGCATGGGGGTTCAGGGTTCAGGTATCTAAACAGGGGACCTCGAACTCCATCAACTGAGCTTCAATCGCACAGCCAGAACAAACCTGAATCGACCAATATGAAGGTGTTGCTTTTGCACCTCTCTCGCCATGTAATGGTGTGTGGTATGTATGCATTCAGAAACCGTTGGTAGCAGCGCGTACTTCCTGTTTCATATGGCTATGTTTGAGGCTAGAGCACGGTCCCGAACAAGAGCATCTCAAAGCCCCCAAGTCATGCAGATTTCCTCGACCTGGAACCGTAGCTCTATGGCCTTCGCCTCGAGGCAGCGATAACGAAGAAGGTGAACTGGGCTGAGTACAATGCTGTCCTGAAGAAGCTGTCTGACCTCAGACAGTGCGCCATACGCTCTTGAGCTTGCGCTGTCATGAGTCCTAGATGATGAGCAGACTGTATAGGACTCACGACTTGTGATGAATCTACCATCGAGTTGTTTCGCTATCGATACATGTTTACTTGGTGGAGGTATGTGGACGGCATGGCAGAGTCGGTCTTCATTGGCCAGCGTGAAGCCCTGGAATCAGAGTTCTCGAAAAAGGCTGGCGAAGCGCGACACTTCTCACGTGACTGCTCCGAATCCATCTTTCGCGGAAGAGGCCAATGCAGACTGGGTGGAAAAGTCCCTGGGCGAGAAGGTGCTCCGGTCTTGGATGCCTTATAGCCTAAACCCAGCTAAGGCCATGCATGCATCGGAAAAAATAGAAGACTGAACGTTTGCCAATATTATTCCTAAGGGTTCCTTACATTACTATAGCTGTTCTATAATAGGACTCGTAATCTTGTTCTTGCTATGAATGCTTATGAAGGCCCCTATACTATAACCCTCAACCCTCAACCCTCAACCCTCAACCCTCAACCCTAAACCCTAAACCCTAAACCCTAAGCCCTAAACCCTAAGTACTCTGCCACCGGAAGGCCGACTTCGCCGACCTCAACGATGTCCGGGCGCGCCTGGAAAGGCGCTCATCCGGTTTAGGGTTCAGGGCTTTGGGTTAGGGGGTTTGGGGTTTAGGGTTTAGGGTTTAGGGTTTAGGGTTTAGGGCTTAGGGTACAAAACCCCTGAGTCTACACACCCTGAATTTCCCTAAAACCCTGTCAAAACCTACACCCCAAACTCCGACAACTTGTTCTCCGAGCCTTGAGCCACACAGCAGGCTGCTGGCAGATCGGAAATGGGCCGTTAAACATGGTAAGAAAAAGCAGCATATGTAACATTGGAGTCTGAATACTGAGTACTTGCCGCATGATTATGTGGGGTTGTCTAGTGTAAGTATAGTAATAGTGCGATGTACCCCTGCGAGACCCCACCCTAGCTATCGCGGTCCACACCTCCATTCCGATCCAAAACCCAAAACCCTAAACCCTAAACCCTAAACCCTGAACCCTAAACCCTAAACCCTAAACCCTTTGAAGACCCTGCCTCAAACCTCACATGAAGAACTCGCGAGGCTCGAAGTGCAGGTGTCGCACAATGACCAGAAGCACACCGCCAAAATGCAGGCTGAGGGTTGATCCTGTGCTAGGTGGCAATGGGGGAAACTTTAAAATTTCTGCTATGGTCTCTCTAGAGGTACCTGTTCATAAATGCCTTACAGGGCCCCAAAACTACAACCCAGTTTGGGGGCTCTAGGGTTGAAGGCTGAGGGTTCTGATGTGATACGGTTGAGAGTTTTAGGCGTGAGGTCGAGAGCTGAGTGTGAGGTTCAGGGTTTCGGGTTCAGGTTTTGAGTGTTGGGATTGGAGTATAGGGCTCAGGTGTTCCGATGATGGAGCTGTCATGATATAAGGTACCACAAGGGCTCTTGGTGTAGAGTGTGTCTATAACTTGTGAGAAAGGGCTGGTTTAGGATACATGATTCTCTTGATAGGCACTTAACTTAGTTAAGCTACCAAGCCTTTGTTGGAGCTGTTCCTGCCGGGCATCGGGCCGGAGAGCATCTGTGGCAGGCGATGCGGGAGGAAACGGCGTCTCAGAACAATGACATGTTTCAGCGCCAATCGGTGACCTGGGTCGTGTCTGCTCGTCGTAGCATGGCCTGCCCTAAGCATCCTCGGTTTGAGGTACTCATGAAAGAGGCCAACAGCACCATGACCTCCAGCAAGCAGCAATTTCACGCTCCAGCCTTACTTATGATGAAAAGCCGGTTTCATGTGACGTCACCGTGGAGAAACTCTTCGCCCTGTTTCTTAAGGACATGAAGAACATGATAGAGCGCTGGCAGCTCAGCCCTGGGCTTTCCCTGCAGCACAGGAAGGGGGTCAAGAGGCGCTACAAGATTTAGGGTTCCAGGTTTCGGTGGCCCTTGCCCCAGTAGTCGTAAGTATCATGCATAGCAATACACAATCACATCAGCAAATTATCGCAACCATCATAGTAGTGACGCGTGATCTTCGTCGTCGTCGTCGTCGTAGTAGCAGTTATCGTGACCGCCCATGATGCTACTAAGAACGCTCTTTCTACTAATCATTATAATCATTCGAGTCAGACTAATCACATCTTGTCATAACAGTCCGTAATCATCCATAATAGTTTTGGTGATAAGCGACATCTGTTTCTATTCTAGTACTAACTGTAGTAGTGGTATGATCGCAGTAGCAGTGTCAAGAGTAGGAAGAGTCAGAGGGCAACATGGTGTGTGCGGACTGAATACTCGTAGTGGTCATCACGTCGCGTTCGTCGTTTTCGAATACGTGACTGGTATTAAGACCCCATGCAATACATCCCTAATAGAGCCCTTAAAGATCCCTTTAAAGGGACCGGTTCAAGGAGCCCTAGTCCCTAAACCCTCAACCCTAAGCCCTAAAACCGAACCCCTAATCATGAAGGCCTCTTGGTTTCTGAAAGTTGGTCCGGCAGCAGCCAAGGCCATGAATCCCGGCTCAAGAGCGTGGACTCGTCCGTCGGAGAGCTTAGCAAGGCAACTAATATCGGGTTTAGGGGTTAGGGTTTATTTTGGGGGCTCCTCATTCTAATTATAGCATAATGGGCCCCCAAAACCCCATTCCAATTATTAAGGCCCCTGCATTAGGTTTCTACTTGGGTTCTGTGCGGGTTCTAATAAGGTTTCTATGAGGGTAGTATTGGGTTTAGGGTTCCTTTGAGGGATCGGTTAGGGGAAAACGGCATCCCCGCTCGGAGCAGCAATGGTGTTTTGCTCATTAGCTAAAGACTGCCCGTTGCAATAGGAAGCACATTCCAACTAGCATTTGTAGTCGCCGTAGCGTAGCAGCGGCAGTACCAAACGTGGAACCATGAGCGGGAGCATGAGACGCAGGAGCACTGGTTGATGTAGTTCTACTGCTATTCCTAGTCCGACGAAGACGACTTCGAATACTACGACCAGCGCACCTACAGCTGCAGCAGCAGCAGCAGCAGCAGCAGTAGCTTAGTAGTGCTGCTGGCAATAACGTTGGTCGTCGTCGCATTCGTCGTCGTCCTCGTCGTCGTCGTCGTAGGAGTAATTTGTAGTGGTAGTTGTACTAGTAGTACTTGTCAAGTATTACTGGTAGCACCACAAGAAAGTAAACGCAGTGGGAGGTAGTGCTAGCAGAAGTTGTTGTGGTGGCAGTAGGAGTAGGAGTAGAAGAAGAGTAGGAGTAGGAGTAGGAGTAGGAGTAGGGGTGGGAGTGGGAGTGGTCGACTTCTCCCTGGTCTACCTGTGAAGGCGCAGCACGAGCTCCAGACTCTCGCGCAGAAAGCACTCCTACCCCGGTTGGAGTCTGCTGAGGCCTTGCATAGTCGCAGAGCCAGGATTAGGGCTTGCGGCGGTGTGAATGTTATACGACAAAGCCTTTTGATCTTTCCGAAACGATCGCATAAGGCGACAAAGCGGTTCATTTGTGCGATAGTCGTGACGATGGCGACGTTGACGATGATAACGATCATTGGAGGAAGCCGCAGTCCCTTTGCGATGGTCGTGCTGATGATGGTGACGATGATGCTGTTGCTGATGATGATGATGATGATGATTGTGCTTATGAGCCAACTTACAAGTCTGAGTCGTAAGGTACAGTTGGTTCTGTACATCCACTCGGTATTCCTCTTGAAATGCTTCGTCGGCTTCCTCTTCTTCTTCTGCACAATTCTGGCTGTACCCGGAGTGTCCAAAAAACTTGAGAGGAAATTGGACCACCGAAAGCATGCTGCCACCCTAACTAAACCCTAAACCCTAAACCCTAAAGGGCAGCCTCTTGCGGATGGAGCAAGCCGACGGTGGGTGCCTCAGTCGACCGGACAGGCTCCTGTCCTAATGGGTAGTTCTCGAAGTTCCCTTTTAGGGCCCTTTTTCTATCGCTGCCGTACTATTTTGGGACCTAGAAAGGGACCCTAATTTCGAAAACTATTCAACCCCAGGCAAACCTTGAGCCTAAATCCGGAAAGCAAGTCTTGTGGTTTGGAGTAGACCCCCAAAAGTTGGTAATATAGAGACCCCAATGATTAGAATAGGGTTTGGAGTATACTATACTATAACTATATTTAGGAACCCCCAAAACCCCATTCTAATTATTAAGGCCCCTACAGTAGCCGGATTAACGGCCACTAGTACTGGGATTCGCTATTGGTCCTTGCTATCTATTGTCTGTGTGTATTAAGTCACACAGTAAAGGCAGCATGTACATATGTACCTATGTACGTATACATGTAAGCATGCATGCATGCATGCATGCATGCATGCATGCATGCATGCATGCATGCATGCATGCATGCATCTGTATATGCAAAGATGTCCAGATGTACATTTTGAAGCAGTATGTTTGCTGTCTGTGTAGGTGCCTTAGGCATCACATTGCCCGGCTTGTATGCGTTCTGCGGTTGCATTTTAGCAGTTGTGCTATGGTCTCCACGTTATTTCGTAACCGTGGATTCTTGCACAAAGAGTTGTCATGCATGTGTTTGTTTGGCTACAGGACACATTTACTGTTGTGCTGCTGCTGTCTTTCTTGTGGTTGTGGTTGTTGTTGTTGCTGCTGCAGCTGCTGTGGTTATTGCTACTGCTGTGACCGTTCATGTTGCCTCTGCTGGTGTTGTTGTTCTTGATGTTGTTGCTGTGATGCCACTTTATTTGCGAACTGATTGTGGAAGCACGTGCCTCTGTGTCCATTAACCTGATTGATTCCATGTCTTGTCTCTATGGTCCCACGACATGATTGTGGTTGCTGCCGTTGTCTTGTTTGTATTGCTGCTCCAGCTGTTTCTGCTGCAGCTGCTCACTCCTACAGCTGCCTACTCCTACACTCCTACACCTACTCCTACTGCTGCTCCTACTCCTATTCCAACTCCTACTCCTACTCCTACCACTGCCACTGCCGCGGAGTTGGAATACTCCTACTCATACCACTGCCACTGCCGCTACCGCTACCAGCACCACCACCACTACCACCACGACCATGACCACCACCCAGACCAAGACCACGACCACGACCACTACCACGAGCACGACCACAACCACTACCACTACAACCAACACTACTGCTGCTACTAGTACTAGTACTAGTACTGGTACTGGTACTGGTACTAGTAGTAGTAGCACTACTACTACTACTACTACTACTACTACTGCTACTACTACTACTGCTACTACTGCTACTACTACTACTACTACTACTACTACTACTTACTATCACTACAACTACTAGAACTACTACTACTACTACTACTACTACTACTACTACTTACTATCACTACTACTACTACTACTACTACTACTACTACTACTACGACTACGACTACGACGACGACGACTACTACTACTACTACTACTACTACTACGGCCACTACTACTTCTAACTGCTACTTGTTACTTGCTACTTCTACTTATACTACGATGACGACACGAACTACAACGACGACGAGGACGACGACGACATTATCACGCTACATACGCCCAGCACTGTTGGTTCTAAAGCTAATGCTTGGAAGCTAAACACTTTCGCTCCAAGAGCTCTTGTGCCGAAGGCCACTCCCCAGTGCCGGACCGCAGACTCGATTCTGAGGGCTTACCATAAAGGTCTATGATGCGGGTTCCATAACTGTTCTTTAGGGCTCAGGGTTTAGTCTTCATGAGTTTGGGTTTCTGGTTCAGGGTGTGGGGTTTAGGCTGGCCCCAGAATTCCCACATCCCAACTCATCTAAGCCCCGAGGCCTCAACCCTAAAATACAAAGCCTCAAGCCCGAGACCCGAAGCCCAAAGCCCGGTGTGGGAGGCACCAATCGAGAGCAACTCGTCAAGTTGGAGTCGAAAGCAGAGGCAAGAGAGCTTCTGCCGGAGTTAAACCCTAACCCTAGACCCTAAGCCCTAAACCGTGGTAGGCTGTGTTTGTATTTATGTTGGGGTGTCAGTCTTTGCATTGGTGTTTCTGTCCAGTTCTTGTTCGGCAAACTGGTCTTTGTTGGCAAGGTGTTGGGTAAAGGGTGCATGCTGGGGCTTACGCACATTTTGTTATATATATATATATATGATATACATGCATCTATACATGCATATGTGTGTACATCTACGATGCAATACATACCTACATACATGTATATACACGCATACGCACATTTTCACGGATAACACCCAGCTCCTTCGAAGTGGCCGAAAGTGCATTTATGGGCTTCCATTTGATTTGGTTGGGGTTGCAGAGGATGCAAACGGATGAAGCAGATTCGGGCTTTAGGCCTCATCTAGAAGACCAAGTATTTACTAATACTGTTCCTCAAGGTTCTTGAACATAATGGTACTTTACAATATACCCCAACTCCTTGTTCTAACTGTTCAGACACCTAGGTGTGAATTTCCTTTCATGCCCTAAACCCTAAACCCTAAACCCTTATAAACCCTAATAAACCCTAAACCCTAAACCCTAAACCCTAAACCCTAAACCCTAAACCCTAAACCCTAAACCCTAAACCCTAAACCCTAAACCCCAAGCCCGCCAGGAGCTGAGGGGCGCGGTGGATCAGCGCTTCGACGTGCTGTCGCAGCAGGCCGGGGGCGTTGTCCCCGAAACTTTCGACCCGCAAAGCCTAGTTAACAGGGTTTATTTAGGGTTTAGGGTTGAGGGTTTAGGGGTTAGGGTTTAGGGTACCTTAACCTACCAAACCTACTTTTTTTGGTAAGGTTCCTAAAACAAAAACATATTAGGGTTCATAATAAGAACCTACAGAGAAGTAGGTTATGGTAGTTTACGGCATACTATACCCTACAAAACACCTATACTCCCTCTAAACCCCGAAGCCCATAAACCCCTAGTCCCGGTAAACCCATGTAAATCCGTAAACCCTGTGAACCCCTAAACCCTGTAAGCCCCAAAGGCACGAAGCCGTGTAAATCTTTAGGGAACTGGTCCTAAACCTTGTAACCCTAAACCCTAAACCCTAAACCCTAAACCCTAAACTCAACCCGAAAAGAAACGACAGGGCGGTCACTTCAAAGAGCAGCTGGAGTTTCTCATGCAGGCGGCATCCGTCAGAAAAGTTCAGGTTTGGAGTTTAGATTTTGGAGGTTCTTCCGGCATTTACGGGTCAGGGTTTAGGGGTTTAGGGTTTAGGGTTAGGGTTTAGGGGTCAGGGTTTAGGGTTTAGGGTTTTGCGGGTTTAGGCCTTTTCAGGGAAAAAGATGCACCAAAGCACTCTTCCGACTCTCGACGCCCCTACATAAAGCCCTTATGCATGAAGAACCCCAAAGCCCCAGGCAGTCAATCCTTTTAGGTTTAGGGTTTTGGGGTTTAGGGTTTAGAGTTTTGGGGTTTAGGGTTTCGGGTTTAGGGTTTTGGGGTTTGGGTTTAGGGTTTAGGGTTTAGGGTTTAGGGCTCCTCATAAAGCCGTAGATAATGCGACCTTGAAGGCCCTACGCGGTTACAGTTTGGTGGTGCTTTGCAGCTGCGCCCCCTGAAAGCTGCAGGCCACTGACATGCTGAAACGAAGATTGCGGGAGGTGACCAAGAATCAGACAGCAGCTTGCCAGCACGGTTTAGGGTTTAGGGTTTAGGGTTTATGTCCCCGATAGCAACTGTAGTGTAATGTCACCCAAAGCCCTGTTCTACACAATAAGTCTTAAGGATGCTACATTAGGGGTGGAGGGCTGATGCTTGTGTGTAGATGTTTAAGGTTTGGGTTTTGGGGGTCGACAGACATGTCTTGCTTTTGCCACTGCTTTCCCAGAACGGTGCAAGAAATGCCCTAAACCGCAAGCTCTACAGCCTAAACTCTCAAGGCTAAACCGTAAGTTCTAAGCCGTAAGCCTCTAACCCCTCGTTGGCTTTTCGGTTTGCTTCGCTGCATGGCAGACAGTCAGCCTGTGTCAGGGCAAGATGAAAGAGCTGGCAGATGACCAGGACATGCGGGTCTTTGCTGAGAGTCTCCGCCACGGTGACCCGACACTCCTCACCACAAATCGACTGCCCAAGCTCTAAGCCGCGTCGCCCTACACCCTAAAACCACGACAGGACAAGCATGTCCAGCAGCTCGCAGCCGTGGAAAGGGTGCAAGATCCTCGGCAGGTCTGTCCGAATGCTCGGTCACCAGAAAAAGCTAGCGGCTAGTCGGACAAGGGCATGCTGTAATCACGTCTCGTCACCCTCTGCAATCAAGACCGAGAAGCAAGCAGCAGCACGTGGAAAGTCGTGAGTGCAGCATCCGGAACCATGGCCCGCCGTCCCTCTCTTTCTCAACTCGCGGCTTAGGGTTTAGGGTTTTGGGTTTAGGGGTTCAGGGTTTAGGGTTTAGGGTTAGGGTTTAGGGTTCATAGCAAAAAACACTGAGGCTGAAAAAGCAAGAGCGAGATGTTCGTGCCATGGAGTTCCGTTCGACAAAGGCAGGTTGGAAATCCGGTGGGTTCGGCACGGCCAGAATTGTTGTGCCTCTTCTGTTGAACCCCGGCTAGCAACCCTAAGCCCTACATCCCAAGGTCCCACACCCGCTTGAATTGATATATATATATATATA